AATTACACTAAATTTTGATCCCTGTAATGTGTGCAATATAATGTTCACTTTGTCTGGTTTTGTTGCAGTATGTCCCAAATATAATACTTACTCTATGAAATAAAAAAAACAAATTATTTAATTAGATGATGTTTATTTTGTGTTGTAAAAATTAAATTATAATATAATACTTGCCCCCTGGTTATTATTATTTAATTAGATGATGTTTATTTTGCATTGTAAAGTATTTATTTACCTTTATAGAATTTAGCTAAGTATTATTGTATTATAAAGCAAAATATTAAATTATGATGTAAAAATACTACATATTTTTAAAATAGTTATTTTCTGTGTAAGAAAAAAATACCTTCATTCATTTTTTTCTATTGGGAATATAATGAATTTTTTGTCTACTGTTCTTTAGCAGTACTGTAAAATAATAGTATAAATCACAGGAAACTAATAGTGAAAATCGGAAGCGATCATCACTGACTATATTTAAACAAAGGAATCCAAATTACTCGATTTTGACCAGAGATAACTTGAAGGAATCCTACACAGAAGGTTCGAATAATGTTTAATGAATACATTTAATTAGGATAATTTAGTATTTCAAAGAAATCAAAGAACTAAATGGCAGGATCATAATATGAACCCTGGATTCATTGTTACCATTACTTATACGAGTTCTAGTAGATGGGATACTGATGATGTGGTAAAACAACCTATAAAGGAACGTATTGTTGGGCATGATGTTATAGGAATTACTGATGATTTCCAGATGACACCTCAATTAGAAAAACTTTTTAATGATAACGAAGATATTCTTGAAACTAATTTAGTTAGTGTTCAAAGTATTATGAAGAAATATCGAAAGTTTTATCATGATGAGGCGAAATGGAAAGAAGATACACTTAGCTACGGATTTTTTTTCAACGTTTATGATAATCCCTCGATACCACTAGAAGCATTACCGGTATTGTTGGTATCAACCGAGAACAATCATCTCGTACAATCTATTCCTGAAAGTGACTACCCAAGTTTAGTTTATTTGTATGAACGTATGAGAATCGTTAATTTATCAAGAGTTCATCAATGGTGGTACTTGTTTTGGGAAGACTTATGGAGAAAAAATAATAAAGAGATACCACATTTATCTAAAAATCCACGGGATTTTTCACCTGCATATAGTGTTAGTATATGTTACAAGCCAATGACAAGATTAGAGCTGGAAGAATTTTTGGAAAAAAGAGGGTGTTGGCAAAATGGTGGCAAAAAAGGATTTTTGCATTCTGGTGTTTTAAATAGGATATATTTGTATTTAAACAATGTTGTATTTCACGGAAAGTCTAAAAAAGGTGGCGAGCCTAAGAAATGGAGTATAATGAAAGGGGATACAATTGATGATAATGATAGTGATTACCATTTATTACATAATAGAGCTAATAAAA